GAGTATAAATATTTGTCCAAGGATTCTTCCTATTTTCTCTAAAATTTTGCTTTTCTCCAAAAACTATTGTAAATTTTAAACTTTTCCTTAGAATATTTTTGACTTTTATTATGGTTCGAGTAAACAAAAAGAAGAAGTTTCCTTTCACCCATCGCAGAGCTTTAACTCGTCAAAGAAAATATTTCAGTGAGAAAGTTTACCAAGGTGAGCCTGGGTATACCTAAGAATGATGCAGACATGACAGCTTGTGAAGTGGAACGCATTTCGTATAGACCTTGTCCTGCTCAATAGATATATGCATCCCACCCAACGTCTGAGGACTATGACAGTATATTCGATCTCATTTAATATGACTGCAGCATATTAACTTTTTACCTCCTAAAAATAGAAGATACAAGAACAGTTCAAGAAAAAGCTTCCTTAGAAGAAAATCATGAAGAAGAATCTTTAAAATTCCGATTTGATTTGCTTTCTTCTAAACATAAATATTTGAAAGGTCTACTAATTAAATATTCTTCCCTTTTATCTCAAGAACGTGATATAAATGAAAAACTTGAAGGGACAATCCGTCAGCTTATAGATGATATTTCATTTATTCGTTCTGTAGTGAATAATTCAATAGTGGAATCAGAACGATTACGAAAACGCAATAAGTTCCTTCATGATCAGTTGATTGAAAATGGAAAACTCTATAATTTTAATGTGGAACTTGAACCTCTTAATATCAATCCTACAGGTGATGAATCTTCTCAATTTCTCTAACTTTTCTTTTCTTTCTTTCTTTTTTTTTTTTTTATATTAATTTACTACTAAATATTTTTTCAGAGAGAGATGTCATTTGCATTTTGCCTGTCATAGAACTACGCTTTGCCATTGCTTTTTGGTCATTCTATAGACTATGCTCTCTTTCTTTATCTTTTATAGCTAATAATAGTTGTCATAGATAGTTTCTTATAAATGTATTTTCTTTTATATTGATGTATTTTAAAATTTATATTTTTCAATTATTCAATAAAATTTTTGCACATTGTTGCATTTTGCTTTTTAAATTGTCTAATATTATTTCAAGAGCTGTCAATCACACTGTTGACACTTTCGCTTTCACTCTTGTAATCCTTTTCTGATGTCACGTGATCATTTAATAAAATTTTTCCTTGAATAATTTTCTAGAATCCAATAAATATAAAATATAATGTTTCTTCAATTATCTCGCCATCCAGTGATCTGATTTGAATGAAACACATGTCATTATGATCCTTGAGATTTGACGGTTCTAATGGTCTACACTTTGAAAAATTCTGATTTGTCAAAGTTAAAATAATGACGTCCGTAACTTTAGTCCTAAATTTGAATCTATTATTTCTTTTATCCAATTGGGATTTAGAATTTGGTCAGGTGATCTTCAGTAAACTTTGTGTGACCAAAATATTACACAAGCTTTTATGAGGTTGTGAGCGATGGGTACTATCTGTTGAGCTTTTGTGTAACCTTTGTGTAATCTCAGGGTTAACACTTTATTTCCTCTATCTCCTCTTTTAAGCTTCTTTGATATTCTTCTTAGTTGTTCTCAATATCAAATTATATTTGCAAAAACTTATATACTTTCTTTAATGTTCTCATAAGCTATTACTGTACCAATTAGGAAAAGATAGTCCTATTGTCGTCGCTAAATGTTAACGTGCAATCTTTTCAGGTTGCATCTGTTAGACGCAGTGTCAGAGGGTTGACTCTTTTTAATTAAGCAGTAATTCTTTTAATGGTTTATAAGTTTGTATGTCAGACTAGTTATCAAAAATATTCATACAGTTGCGTCAGGCAGTGATTCAACGGATTGCAAGTAAGTTATATTAGTAAAATAATGTGTTTATTAATGAGTA